TTGCAACCGGTCGGTTGGCAACCGTCTTGGGTCCCATCCATAAATACAATGACGCCAATACGTGTATACGACTGTGGAGTTTTTTTCAACTGCGTGATTGACAATGCAATTCTTGCCCCTCCTCGATGAACACACCAAGGGCACCACTCCCGTCACACCGCTTATGCTACTACCCCCCTTTCGCTTCTACACATTGGCAAAGCTACTTCCCTACCGGGCTAGGAGGTAGTGCAGACACCCAGACAATGCCTAATGAAGAAGTTCTAACACCGTTCGTGTGATGGCACCATTGTCATTCACCAATGCCATTAACACCACTAGCACCACCATCACCTTTGTTGCATTACAAGTGCGGCTGCAATTTAGGTGGATTAAATTGCCACAATCAGAAGCACCAAGATCAAAGCAAAGGAGCTCAAGAAAACAAACTTTTGTTATGGTTAGGTTCACGACTTTATCACAAGTCCAATTGCTGGGTCATTCTCGACATACCCTAATGTCAGGTCGTCTTCAAAGTAACTCATGCCAGTAAGTCTTCGTGATAATTCAAATGGGGATGCAATAATCCTCTCCGTGATTGGATTGTTGTATTCCCAAGAACACACGACAAAGTATATTGCTCACATGAAGACCGAACGATATCTTCTTAAGCCTACAGAAATTTGTTATTCTTAACGTCAGTGTAAAACTACCAGACAGGTGAGCTGCAGGCGCAACTGGTAGAGCTGTTTCACAATTTTGCTTGGTGATTGTAAGGCCTGATACTAGACAGTTCGTATTAGATCTGGTAAATAGGAAATGCAAGAGATAGTGATAGGTCTTCCCCTTGCCTGATTTAGCGGTTTCTATTGTCCCGACTAGTTGGCAAATTGACCGCACGAAGCCTTATCGCCGTTAATTCATGCGTTATCTAAGGAGGAATACTCATTGTCTTCTGCGTTGTCACCAACCTAGTCATCATCCACAATCCCTGTCGCAATTCATGATCCCATACATAATCAGTGATCGCGTCACACCAACAACTAGCCACACCTAATCGGTTCCCTATCGTCATGTCCTAGTGACTAAAAGTGCATTCTAACCTCAAAAATCCACCAAGCCATTTCCGCTATTTAAGAAGTAATGAGTTTGGGGTTGTGAAAAAAGTCGCGCGAAAAGAACATAAATTAGATTCACAAAATTACCACTCAGGATAGGAAAAAATATAAGCTAAAGTGAATAGTGAAGGCATTAATTTGTTACATTCTGCGATACCAGGAAGATATCGTTCCGTTTTCAGGTGAGAAATATATGTTGCCGTGTGTTCTTCAAAATGCATTAATTAAATCAAGGCGAGGATTGTAGCATTCCGATTGGAATTATCACGAAAAACAATCGGCGTGAGTTGCTTTGAAGATAAACCGACATAAGGGGGGTTGGGAATGATTGAGCAATCAAAAAAGAGATAAGGTCGAGAAATGTAACAATAACAAAAGATTGTTTTTTGCGATCCATAGGTTTGATCATGGGTTAGGGTTAGGGGGGTTAGGGTTAGGGT